CTTTATTAAATAAACAATATTTATTTTATTTTATTTTATTTTATTTATTTATTAATTTATTTTTATTTTATTTATTTTTTTTTTTGATGTTTGGCTTGCCAGCAAGCATAATTTTAATAATAATAGTTTAACTGGTACCTAATAATCATAACTAATAAATATAAATTATATTTAGAATTATATCAAATAGGATCATTTATTAAATACAGAGACAATGAAATAAGAATAGGAAGAATTATAGTGATAGTCTTAACTTCCATTGGAATCAAATTGAAAGTTCAATTTCTTTATTTTGGTTCCAAACTTCCAAAAAATTTTTTAAGCTCAGCAAGAGCAGAAGAGTCACAAAATAGAGAATTATGGTTAAGTGAAGTGACCTATTTAATTGATCCATCTACTGTTATTGGGCCAGTTATAGTTTGGCTTCAAGACACATCTGAGCCATCTGATTAGCAATTTTGTGTGAGAGAGATTTTATATAGCCATGGAGGTCAGTAAAAAATAAGGAACTGTAAACTTCAGCACTATCATCCAATTGAATATACCCAAATTTTAGCATCAGCATCAAATAATGTACCAGTATTAAAGATAATGCTAGACATTTACTATGATGATTTTGGCATGTTCTGCAATATGTATCATTTGTTGGGCACAATTTACTTTCAATTTTGTAACATGTCCTTATATCTAAGAAAACAATTTAAAAACCACTTTGTTTTGGGCTTTGTTCCATTCAGAGGTAAATTTGACAATATAATGAAACCAATTGTAAATGAAATTAAAATTCTAAAAAAAAGTACTTTAATGAATATTTCGGGTCACAACATATAGATAATTGTTGCTTTAGATATTGTAACCTCTGACCTCCCTTAGGGCAACGATCTTGTGGATACGAAATGTTATATTGGTAATCTAGGGTGTAGGAGTTGTCTGATGCCTAAGGAACAATTAAGTAATTTTAGTTTTGATGTTAAGCTTAATTCCTGATATCATCATATTACAGATAAGAAAATAAGTAAATTAGAAAACTTAATC